TTTTGTGGCCTAAAAATTATTAATTTGTGATCCAAATTTTGATAAATTGTGACCTAAATATAATTAATGTGATGTTTGTGACCGTAAATAAGTATTGTGACTTATAAATTTTGTGATCTGTGATCGATGAACAAATTGTAACTTTTTAAATTTTTAATTTGTGATCGATAAACAAATTGTGACCTTTGAAAATTTTGAATTGTGACCTAAAAATTTTCGCCGGAGTTGGAACACTTGCCAGAATAGGAGCAGTCGTCGGAACAAGGTGGCGGTGGAACGATCATCGGAATTGTCGCTGAAATCGGAGTAATTGTCGGAACGGTCGCCGGAAATGATTTGTGACCGGAACGGTAGCCGGAATAGTCCCCGGAGCGGTAGGTGGGATGGGGTAATTATATTATATTAGAATTAAATATTTAATAATAAATTGATTTAATAATTCATTATTTCATAAATAAAAAATTAAAAAACCTGATTTGTGAAATTTGGAACTTGTTTTTGTATTTTTAAAATGANCGGAATAGACCCCGAAGCGGTAGGAGTGGTGGAGGTGGAGTTGGGTAATTATATTATAATAGAATTAAATATTTAATAATAAATTGATTTAATAATTCATTAATTCATATATAAAAAATTAAAAAACCTGATTTGTGAAATTTTGAACTTTTTTTTTGTATTTTTAAAAAGGTGTAAAGTAAACACTTTAGAAATGTATTGTTACCTTTTTAACATTGCCTATAATTGGATTGGACCTGGCATCACAACCCAACACGTTACTGAAGTGACATTTGAAATTTTGGTGACCAACTGGGTTTTTAACCTCTTTATATTGATTACAAGCTATTTTGCCATCTTTAGGAGTATTTCTCGTTTTTTGAGCAAGATCGGTATATGATGAAGTCGAAAAATATGATTTAAATATTAATAATTTTTATTGATTCTAATTAATATAGGTTTTAGACAAGTTAGAGGTCGTGGTGCCAGAATTGATATTGTGACTGTATAGATTTACTAATACAAAACTGTCAAAATCTTAAAAGACTTTTGCAATACATGTGGCCAAATTGGTTGTCCATCAACAACAGATAGCAGGTGACCTTTACTATGTTGGGCGAGACGTACGAGGTGGTGGTTGCGGCATGCTTGTAACTGGACAAGGTCGGCGTGACGGTGGGTTAGTCACGAACTTGACTATGTGGACAAGGTTGTTGATTGGAAACCCAAGGATGAAGGAGGTTCCAATGGTTGAGAGGTTGTAATCGCTTATGGGATAGGTAGAGCAATATCCGTTACGGATGACAGAGATCTTTTTGAACCTTTTAATCCCAATTGGGAGTCTGATTTAGGTGAGGATTATGACAATCCACTCGTTTTCAATTAACAGTATAGTGTTAAATTTTTCAAGACGCGTGAGGCAAATATTGAGTTTATTAATGATGATAATTGTAAAAATTATGTGGAAAGAATTATCTTGTTAATTAAAACCATGGTGGACTAATTTTCGTAAAAGTTGTGGATGTGGCTGCCAAAAAAACCCTATATGAATTGAAGTGTAATTCTATCTTGGAAAGTAATACAATGACCCACTAACAATAATAAAATTGAATAATATTATTTTGCACGATTGATTTTACATCTTTTAGGTGACGTTAAGTCATAAGTAAAATGAGAAGTATAATTAAATGAGTTACATAATTCAACATTTAATTGAAATTATCATATTGTGTCACCTAGATTGATGTTATAACACATGCCGTGCTCGACAGCATTATTCACTGTAGAAAGAATAAAGTTGTAATTCACCGAGTAAAGATTTTGGAAACAAACAAGTCAATCACAAGAAAAACTAGTGTGAATGAAAGTCCCATGTATATTACTTGGCACTGAATCAACTTTTTATAAGCACTAATTCTATATCTAATAATTTTAAAATGTAAATCATTAATGATTGGACAACCAGAAAACTAGTTTACACTAAACAAAACAATAGGAGAGTGAGTAATGGAAAACTGGATATGGGAAAGAACAAATCTCGTATAGCTTACAGGTTTATCGTGGCAATTCCCTTATGGAATGAGTAAAGAATTTCAGCTACAGTACAAGAACTTCAACAAAACTCAGCATTTAGGCAAATAAAGCACTGAACATATAGAACGGATACGACTCAACAAATTCAGCAGTATAAATAAAGATATATCTTCGTTACTAGAACTCGATGCACCGTATTCAATAAACCTTCATCTAGAATTACCGTCTCCGAGCAACTCTTTGCCCGGCTCCAACTAACATAGCTTTTCCTATCAGTCCTGTTTGGAGTCCACAAATAAGAGCAACGGCTCCACCAACAGCCATCCATCTCCAATCAATTCCACCACAATCTCTCTGTCTCTCGGTCTCCACAACTTCATCTCTCTCTTCCTCGCCCACTCTGGGCTCTAGAGGATTATTTCCTTCGATGGACGAAAATTTTGTTGTGATTCTTGCCATCAAACCACACCTGGACAATGATGGCTCAGATTTTCTAGCATTTTGATACGCTCTGAAGCCACCATGCAACTTTTTAACCGTTCCCCACATTCCATGTCGAACACCCAACTTGGCAACATCCTTCGGGATTCCCATGTCTTCATAGTGAATAAGTGTGACCTCACATGCAGATAACTGGCCATCTCCTTTACGCGATTGCACTGCATTTATTTAGTGCAAGTAATATGATGGATATGAAAATCACAGATTAAATTCAGGAAAGCAACCACATTATCAGAATTATTTACCAGGCTTTATAATCCAGCTCGAGAAATAAAGATCCACACATCTAGGTTTGTCTCGCCTTGGCAAAGTTTGATAAGGTACCCCCTGCAGACGCATTTTGTATATTAAGACGCATTTCCCTTCATATTGACCATAAAGTTGAACTGTAGACTAAATGGAAAAAATTCGAGTCACAGGTGCAAATTGAGACAGATGAGAGGAACTGAACAAACTTAGACTTCTCAATCTTATTAATTCAAACGGAAAAAAAAAAAAAAAA